TTTTGCCCCTGACCCTTCCCTCCTTCCCCCCGGAACCTTTTGCCCCCCTATTTCTTTTTTTTTTTTTTTTTTTTTTTTGTACCCCTTTGGAGCTCTTAATCAGGGACGGTGCACCACGAACGAAAAGAGGAAAACAGTTTAGGTATTCCTGTTTTTCTCCACGTATCTCAATCTGTGCGGACAACTCTTGAGCAAAACTAGCGCAGCTTTGCTCCGGAGGAGGGGGATCTCCTGCCACTGATTGCAGCCCAGCACCGTGACTGTGAGGCGTTTTTATTTTTTATTTTATTTTTAACCTAGCACTTGAAGAGCGCCATGGCGACCCAAGTGGATGCGTGGTCCTCCGCGCCTCAAGCCGACGGTAAGTATGTGATCTCAGCCTCGCGTTTTGTGGCGGACTACGCGTGGGATGAAAACCTACAAAAATCGCAGGCGAGGTGGGGTTTAAAGCTGCAAGACGGGGCCTGCAGACGTGCTTTCCACGATGCATTGTGTCCGTGCATGGGATGGGCTGCAGCGCCAGCCATGCTCCACCATGTGCCCTTGTTGAAAACACACACGCATACACACACACACACACACATAGCAACGCACCGCGTACGTGTGGACGCGCTGCAATTTGGAGTAGATGTACTTTTTATTTTCATTGCACTCAAGCCGATGCTATATTGCTTCGACTAGCTTATTTTATTCGTGGCAACTGTGTTGTTTGACTCGTCTTGCATGTAATCCTGCCACGGTTTTTGATTGGACGAGGCCACTTCCGCTTTGCACTCGAGATTGCACACTCAGATCTTTGCGTTTCCATTTTAACGTGTGGTAACGATTCCACGCACGACGAGAGCCAGCAGAACCAGTCGCGGTCTTTCCCGATGTAGGTGTTTTTTTTATTTGCAAGAACCATCAAGGCGCACATGGAGACCGTTTTCCTGTTTTTTTTTTTGTGCACTCCTATCGCATTCATTAACGTACTGCAGATTTATATTGCTTTCATGCTTAACATTGATTTTTTAATATATAATTTTATTTGGGGGGACTCAATCAAAAATACCATCTAAAATAATTTATTAAAAAATAAATAAACGATCTTCATAATATCCTCAGAACTGCTTGCACAGCAATAATACGATTTTAATATATTTCCTTCCTTGTTAATAATAAAGCTCCACATACAGTGCCTCCATGCTCCCTCTTCTTTATGCCAAGAAATGACGTCAGCACGTATATCCCACAAGAGGCACCGGGAGAAGGCTTACATAATCTGTGGTGCTGTGTTTAAACGTTGCATAATGAAACGTATATCCTGGTGCTGTCACATGTAAAGTTAGATGCAAAAGTATCAGCATGAGATGCATGGGCTTTCAAAAATATTTTATAAATAAAAATCTGAAAAGTGTGGCACGTAGCTGTATTCAGCGTCCCTTTACTGCGATGCCTCTCCTTATAATCAAGTGCAACCAGGAAAGCAAACCAGGCGAGGAGAGAAATTATCAGCACCTCACAGTAACTCTGGAGGACTTGCAGCGAACCACAGCTCAGGTGAATTAATCTAATTAATCTGTTTACATGAAAGCCATTAGTCACATGTCAAGAACAAGTTATTATTAGAACAAAAGCCACAAATTTCCCTCTTTTTTTTTTTTCTTAGTTTTGTTTTTGTCGAACACACAGGTGTAGAAGAAGATGCTGTGGACAAAATTTAAGCTTTTAGCCCGCAGGTGTTGTAAAGCTGGCATCATTCCCTATTATGAAACGTGGTGGCGGCAGCAGCATCATACTCTAGGTAGAGGAAAGCAGCTGGATTTGAAATATTTGCTTGGCCAACAGGAGGATCGATGCACTGAATTTGTATACTATTACTGTTCTCAAAAGGACGGTGTGGGGAGACTTGATTTTACCTGAGGATGATGAAATGATGATGTCCGAACTCGAATGTTCTCTTCGGCCAGAGTGAGTCGATGAAGCACTCTCTGTTGTTGTTGTTGACATGCTGTCTAACAGTCCACTGTCTGTGGCCGGACGGCGGCCGGCTGCTCCTTTGTACAATATGGGTCAGCATGGACGTCCATCTCACCCAGCAGCGGGTCAAACTAATCGTACCTTAAAGATGCTTGCTATGATTTAATGGTTTTAACGTCACGTATACTGGGTTACTGTTAATATTAAATGACATTCTTTTAAATTTATTAATGAAAGCCAGTCACTGTAATAGCGCTGTGTCAACACCCAAAGTAATGTGATTACACATGTGGCTGGACGAGGCTAATTGTATTGAGCAAAAATGCAGTCACCAACAGACGTTTTTGAAGCGTCAACTATGTGACGTCGATGCAGTTAAAATGTGAGTGCAGTTGAACATAATATCCTGAAGCCTTTTCAGCTAGTCGGTGAATTTTTCCTCTAAGGAGTGCAATTAATATGAAGAATACGTGAGAGCAAGAGCCTGAGCTGGGGGGGCTGCACCGTGCGTCGTCAGGATGTCATCAAAACGGCATCGCTCTGTGCAATCGTACCCCTCATCATGCTCATATGATGAGCACGACGAATGCAGTAAATGAGGTGAAATTATATCCCAGGCATCGTGAATTCAAACCTTGCATGTCATTAATAAGGTATTCAGTCTGTTGGAAATTCCAACATGTCACACGTGTTGCAGTGTGTACGATGAAGTTCCCACATAGTGTTGAAGAACGTTGAATTCATGATGGATGTTGCTGTAGATGGAGAGGCCGAACAAAACTCTGCAGAAGGCGACGACTGGCTTCAGAACTTAAATTGATTCCATGGCTGCTTCCCCTTTTCTTCTTTTATGAGCTTCTTTGTAAGCTTTGCCTCAATTAAATAGTTACATTAAATATAAGGACAGCGTCTAGCGCATTCTGTTTTGGACAAAATACAAAACCAGTGATGTACGCAGGTGAGTGTGAGTGTGCAGACGTGGTGAAATGAGGCTCATCAGAAATCTCTCTCCATGTCAAGCACTCTCAGCAGCAGTGAAGGGTGTGGCAGCAAACGCTGCAAGTCCTGTTTTATAAATCATTTTCTTTCTCCTAAAGGAATGTCTTCTGCTCCTAATGTTGGGCACTTGCTGACTTTTCAGCTGGATGTTTAACTATAATATCCAAACCCCCATTTGTGTGAACATTGATGGTAATTCCTTCAATAAACGTGTCCGCATCTTGGAAGAAACCGCTATAGATGTCAAGTCCGATTTCTCTGTGGCCCGTTGAGTACATTCTATGAGCATCTTGGTTGTCAACCTTTGGTCCACTCATGCATTAATGACATGTTTGCTCACACTGTCTGAATCCATTTAGTCCCACAAGTATAAGGATGGCAAACCCATCCTTCCTCTGTCATGCCTCAATCTGCTTGGGGAAGTTGCTGACTAAACCAGGCCTGTACCCAGTTTATCTGTTCTCCCCTAATCATTTACATGCAGTTTCTTTTTTTCTTTTTTTTTTTTTAATGGTTCTGGCTTGTCAGTCACCCCACAAGCTGACTTGATACATTTCTTGAAATAAAGTTAAGTTTTGACAGTAAAAGCAAACATTTCTTGTCTGGTGCCTTGTGTGGTCTTTCCCTCAGTTTTCAGCTGTTAGCACACAAGTTTAGGCTGTTTCATTCAAACCTGTATTTAGGGGAAAGATTTCCATTCTGGCTCCCTTTCATAAAGGCCTGACAGTTAAACCCCAAAGCACATCCACACCCTTCCTCCCATGTCTTATAGATAAAGCAGAGAAGCTGCTATGCCCGATTCCTTTATCTCAGCACAGACTCGTGGATTCTGGTTTTCTTTTGTAGTTTTAGTTTTCAGCATCGTGCCTAATGACAGTGTTATACCCCACTGTCCAACTGGCTCTTACAAATAATAAATGCCCCACAAGTTTAATCAAACAGTAGAATTTCCCCCTCTCTCTCTTTCCTTGGAGAAATCAGCAAGTGCAAACAGAGATACTGTAGTTCTGGTATATGCAAATACCGTAGCACTATTCCTTTTATTTAGCTGCTTGCTGTCTCTCTTCAATTATTTGTCCATGGAAAAAAAAAAAAAAAAAAAGATTTTAAGTTGTAAGGAAAATAACCTTGAACCTGTGAACAGTCCAGATGCAGTCCTCTGAGATTTATAACCCAGTTCAGCTTTTTTCTTATTATAAAGCTTCTTAATTGTTTTTTTTCCTGTATTCCACTTTGTGTATGTGAAACGAAGGTTTAGTTCTAGAAAGAAAAAGACAAACATAATTAGAAGTTGACAGTTTACTGTAGCACTGACAAGCATGGTTAACTGTAAACACTGGTTTTTGACCATATAAAAATGTCTTCTGAGAACTAAAAGTGATGAAGGTTTTTCAGTCGGCACACAATCCGGTTCTGTGGAATAAATGTCCCAGATGAGCTCAAATAGTTAAATTTCATATTTTAATTCCTTTTTGAACGCATATCGCATCTTCTCCGATATGAGTGACTTTGTTGCTTTCCTCGTGTAAAAATATCCTCCTAAATTAATACATTTTGCGAATTAGCTTTTGCTATTGAATCAGAAGTTTAAACAAAACGGCCTCATTGTGTTTATAAGTCATCTTCAGACATGTGTTTAAAGGCCATGCAGGAATAATAATGTTTATTAAGCCAATGTGTGTCTATTTCAGCTACAATCTTTGGTTCTTGACACAAGCCGTTTGTGTTCATAAACATTTTGAACCCGGATTTCACTCGCATAGACGTACATTTCCTTTTTTGTGCTACCAGTTTTGCTGCTTGTATGGTAAAGTTGTTTTTTTGTTTTGTTTTGTTTTTTTGAGCAGAGGAAATCTATAAACAGCCCCTATGTAGAGCATTAAAAACTGTCCCTATGTGAGTCATGTGAAACTTCTGCCCCACTGACTCCCTTCTCATTCATAAACACTCCTACTGCATGCACGCCTACATCCAAACACTTTAGCAGGTTTGCAGGCTGTGCAGTCTTCCCACAAGCCCTTGCAGAGACTTAATTTCCTTGTCCTGCACCTTTGGCACAGAGTGTAAGCTGATTGAATGCAAATATGTTTTTTGAGGATCGTTATTCCAGTTTTTGGAGCGCGCTTGGTGGCGTCCATCGCTACTTCGCTGCTGCAGTTTCAGCCAACTGTCGGCGACACGCAGAGCTGCCGTCGTGTTGTGCAACTCTCAGCAGTTACGGTCAAGCTCTGTTATCACAGAGCAACATTGTCCTCGCTGTGTTCGGGGGCAGTGTTGTTCTGCTTGTTTTGCAAGGCCCGTCTTGGCAAACGGGTTTGAGTTTTCCTACGAGCTCCTATTTTGCTGGGTGCTCCCTTCCAGTTGGCTGCAGAAGTGGTCTGGCCTGCAGCCATTGGTCGGTTCCTAATTTATGACCTTGCTAGGACCTGTAGCCCACATTAGGGAAGGAGGAGGAGGTGCCTAAGGAAGAGATGACACAAGGACGGCTGTTTACCGATTTCTGAAGGCCATGGGTGTGACTGTTTGCTTGTATTGGAGCAGGTTAGGTTGGGTTTAGATTGCTGACTCAACTGAAAACTGCAGTGTTTATACCTCCTCTTGTGCTTCTTAATTAAACATAGCTGATTTAATAAGAATATTAAGATACTCCTACTGTCTTATAAAAAATAAAAATTAACAAAAATAAAAATTAACATTGTGTGCTCTGTAGAGCACACAATGTTTTTTTTTTTGTTTCCTTTTAAGAATTGTACCACTTTGATTAGAGGTCCGCAGTGCCTTCTGGAAGTATTCACTCTTTAAAATTGATCATGTTTATTTGCATTAAAACTCCAAACTTCAGTGTATTTTATTGGGATTTTACGTGATAGACCAACAGACAGTATTCATATTTATGAAATGAAACAGAAGAAAGCACGACTGGACCATTAAACACTTGAATATGTTTTGATTTAAACTGTTCCAGTTGCAGTTCTGGCTCTGTTGTCCTCTCTTTTGTTTTTTTGGTCTTTCCATCTGTGTATCAACTCCCAAACAGTTTTCCTGACCTTGCTAAAGAAAAGCATTCTCATGGTACAATGTTGCCACCACATGATGTGTAATACTTCCATTACATGTAGCATTTTCCAAGATCAGTACAAACTCCAGGACGTCTTTCACCAGCGTGTTTCTTTTTGTCACACTTGTATAAAGACTAGATTGTAGATTAACAACAGGTTCTTCTGGAGCTGTGGATTTCTGCAGCTCCTCCAGAGTTACCAAGTTTGTGGGGGATGGGGGTGGGGTAACAATACTTTTGCAAGCCAGTGTAATTTTTTTGTTTCGAAATACTAATTGTTCAATCATTCCCTGCTACTATGATACTAATCTCCCTAACGCTTGCTAGCTCTGCACTGTTACTGAAAACGCATTGTTCTGTTGTCAAAATGCACAATGCACAGTATGGAAAATTATGAAAACACGCAATTGCAATGAATGTTTCGGATCATGTTGTCTAAGGCCTGCAGTGCATATTCAAGCTCTCATAGAAAAGGAAAATCGATTGGTCCAAGGAAGTTAGGTATTTGTTGGTTTCTTAGGATTTCGTTTTCCTGAAACCGGTCAGCTCTGCTGTGCAGCAGACCAAAGGGAGAACCGTTTGGAGGACAGAGGCTCCTTTAACATGTTCAGTTTACCTCCGTGTGCCTTTACAGGCTCTGCAATCTTGCTTTTTGAGGGATTTAGGTTTTAATTACATCTTGTTCCTGTGTTGCCTCATTGCTGCGTTACGTGTCATGTGATCAAACTTGCATCCACCCGTGCCATATGTAGTCAGGTCCACTGTTTAAAAAAAAACAAAAAAAAAAAAAACTGGTGTCAGCATTTCTCCAGCATGTGCTCGCTTCTCTCTCTCCCTCCCTTCCACCGCTGCAGCTGTGCTCCTCTCCTCTCCTCTCTGTGCTGTTCTACACACTTTAACCTGACTAAATATAGGATTTCACCCACACAAGAGTAGTAGTACGTTAACTTGACCCAATGCATGTCTGTAAACGTAGGTGAGTTTTCTCGACCACGTGTTTTAGCTTGCAGCATTTGCTAAATTCTCGATATCGTTCTATTCTCTCTAACTTGAGCTGATTTTATAAGTGACCACAGTTTCAACATGCAAGCGTACCTAAAATCATACTGCAGTAAGAACAGTTCCTATCAGAAAAAGCTTATGTTGGCATATTACGCACAACAAAACCAAAACGAACCTCTCAGCTTTTAGCAGAAGTGAAAAGAGTTGTGTGACCGTGTTGCAAATCTGAGCTTACAAATGGAAAAAAGTAGACTTTAGGGATACAGAAATGGCGTCTTCAATCGTTGTACTTTTTTCTTCGGGTTCAATTCAGTTACTGTTTGCACACCAAGCAACACCAAGCCCTTTTGCATACACAGCTCTACACAAAGGTCAAGAGCAGTGGTGTCTGAAAGAATGTGGAGTTTGGGAAGGCCAGACAAGCAGTTGGGATAAATCAGTGAAAGCAATGAAATATATTTTTTTCCATATAGTCTTACAATGATCTTGCAGTTACATAGCCAACAACACAAATCTGAGCCTCTTTGCTTGGAGTAATATGATTGTTGGAAAACGTTTTCCACATGACCAGTTTGATGCTTAAAAATCTTTTTTTTTTTTTTCTACCACAAAATTCTGGCTTAGTGTGTGCGTCTCTACTTTTGATAAAATTAGTAAAATTCCTGGTTTCTAACCACAGGGGCGGTTACTTCGGATCACCAGCCCGAGGCCAGCTGTCCCTACAGCGATGACGATGATGGACTGGACGAGGCGGAGGTCAATGGCAACTGGACGCCCCAAGAGAAAGCACTCCACGAGGCTCGCCTCAAAGCCAAAGCCAAGCGTCGCCTGCGCAGGTCCTCGTCCCGCAACTCGACGAGCGAGTCCGTCTCAGAGTCAGGCGAGACGCCAGGAGGCGACCCGCACGCCGCGAAGGGCAAAGTTCACAACAACGACCGCAAGTCGAGGACGGGCAAAGGCAGAGGCTTGCCAAAGAAAGGTACATATGGTTTTTGATCTGATTGCTATCAGCTTTTGTCAACTGGGCAAATTGCAGGATGAATCCCACGTTATGTTTAGGAACTTCCTTTAGTTTACTTTTTTGCTGTGTTCAGGTGGGGCAGGAGGTAAAGGAGTTTGGGGTGCTCCTGGGATGGTTTATGAAGCCGAAGAGCCGGACGTACGGGACCCCAACTATGATGAAGCTGCTCAGGTCAGTGGGTCTCTATGGGGATGCCTCTTTCCTCTCTCGGGTCATTTGTTTATCCAGACATGGAACATTTACCTCGTCATCTCCACAAGTTCATTTTCTTCGATTTCCTAAGAGGGTCTTTCGACTTCTGCAGTTCATAAGTTTATGATATTAAATTTGTTGAAGCATCTTTGAACTCGGTATGTTCTCACTAGCTTCGCTGTTGACCAGAGAACCCTGATCAGAGATTAGAGCAAAACAAGGGCACCTTTTTCTGATACTGATATAAAGAACATACCAACATTCCCATTGTAACATCCCTGCTCTCTTTGCTTAAAGCCAAAAGAGCTGCTTATTTATTTGTCTCCTACTCACAATAAAATTGAGATACCATTTCCTCAGCAGTAAAAGTTTTGGAGTAGAAATTAAACAGAAACGGAGGCATAAATTGATTTTCATACCTCAAGCACATTCAGATAACTCTGCAAAATTACCTGTTACTATATTTTGCCAGGAATCAACATATTTATTCATATGCTAGTTTCATTCACAGATGTCAGATTCACAAACACACACAGGTCATTGGGAAAAAAAAAAAAAAAGTAAAGGCATTGTTAAGGGAGTAGCATAAAAAAGACCACTAGCATATCAACAATTATTCCCATGTCTGAACAGCAGCAGCAGCGGTGATTTGTTGTGGACCTCCTCCTTCACCTGCACAAAATAATTACTGCACATGTTTTTGTTTTTTTGAGTTTTGTTTTTTTTTGGTCTTGTAATAAAACTAGAGATCCGGCTGCGGTCGTAGTTTGTATGTGTGATTATCCTGGCAGAGAAGAGACATAACCCTGCATGCGATTTGGCCAAAGCTCATTAACAAACACCCCGACTCGCTCGATTGTTTAATCCAGATGGCCCCGTCCCATCACAATCAACGCTGTTTTCAATCTTTAACCCCGGTTATCGCATGAATGCGGGATGTGATGCTGACAGGCTGGCGTGTTTGTCTCCCGGCTTCGATCACACAACTACATTACCGGCTGGGAACTCGGCTTCTGTCTGGTTGAAAGAAAGAAAGAGGAAAAAAACAAACAAAAAAAAAAACAGATCCTGATAACGGTTTTTAGAGTTGGCTCAGAGAAGCTGGTTTGATTTGGCCTTGACCGGTGCACAAAGTCAGTTCAAATATGTTGAAAGGGAGCAGGGACGGAATGGTACAGAAAAATAAACGGGGGACACGAGCGGTCGGTTTGGCCTTTGAGTCCGACTGCGGAGTAGATCAAGGATTTCTAAACGCTACAGGGTCATCATGTGCTTGGGAAAATGTCAAACTGAAGCTTCAAATAAAACTCTCTCCACCAACGTGGCACATCTAACATCTTATGTTTATTTGCAAGTCTTCCCCCAGATCTCCATTGCATTATAGACCTTGACATCAACTATTCCATTGCAGCTCTGGTTGCATGTTTATGGATGTTTTGCTCCAGGAAAGTGAACCTCCGCCCCCATCTCGACCAGGTTCTCTTTCTGGATTTTTTTTGTTGTTGTTGTTGTTTTTAGCTCATTTATCTAAATGAAATAGCTCAAGCTCAGTCAGATTCGATTGGGAGCATCTGCAAGAAGCCATTTTCGCAGATTCTCAGTCGGATTTAGATCTGAACTTTGACTAGGCCATTTTAAAGGTGAGCCACCTTTAGAGTGGTGGTTCTGGTCTTTTTGCTGCCGCTAAGAGGGTCCCTTCCAGAACTTCCCTTTCTCTGGCGCTAATTCATCGTTCCCCAAAGTCTGTATCCCCAGAGCATGCTGCTGCCACCACCATGTTTAGCTGCACATCACCGTGTCATGTGCAGTGTTAGTTTTTCTCTACACAAATTGTTTTATTAAGCTTTTCATTTTTTTTATCTTTACTTTTAAAACGTGGCAAAATGTGAAAAAGTTGTAGGCTTGTGAATACCTTTGCAGTCGACTGTAATTATAAAAGCACTTTGTGTACTTTGTGTACAGTTTGGGGGGCATTTGTGACTCATTGTGTGAAATGTGTTTTTTGCCACAGGGTGACACTGTTTACGAAACGGTCGTGCCAGAGGTGGAAGAGAAGGAACTAGAAAAGATGGTAAACCCGATCGTATTGGAGTACTTTGAACACGGGGACACAAAAGAGGTTGAGGTAAACGATTAAAACTGTACATTTCCTTCTTGTTTTTCCTCGCGTACCTCGATCAGGCAGAAATGTGTTGCTTTAGCGAGCGTAAATGTTAAGAGATAGTGATGAATAGATGGCATACTTTAAGAGTGTGACAGATCCTGACTTGGGTTCAATCTTGGCGGTGCTTCCAGGTGTTGTTGAAGGAGCTCAACCTGGGCCAACATAAGTACGAGTTTACCTCCGTGGCCGTGTCCCTGTCCCTGGAAGGCAAGGCCAGTCACAGGGAGCTGACTTCCCGCCTGCTGTCCGATCTGTCGGGGAAGATGCTCACGCAGGGTGAGATGGCCCACGCTTTCGATAAGATGCTGAAAGAGCTGCCAGACCTCATTCTGGACACGCCAGAGGCCCCCCAGGTATGCCTGACACCCTGAGAGAGAAACGGTGGCAGCCAGAGCTCCAGGTCTGATCTCGGTATCGTTTGCTCTGAAGGGAGGAGAGGCAGAGCTGGGCTTAAGACACTTAAAAGATTAAAGATGAACACAGCCCATTTTCATTAGTGTTTTTTTCTTCTTCTTTTTTTTTTTTTTCCAATTCCATGTTGTAGACTGGTTGTTCTGCGTCAGCTGGGTTACTGCAGACGGTGTTTGTACTGTATAACATTGTTTAGTTAGACAGTACATATAACTAAATGTATATGTACGTTTACATATACATTTAGGTCAAGTTTTAAGCCACGATCAACTGAAACTGATCAAAGACGGCACTAACTGATCAAAAATTTCAAACAAGACTCGTATAGTTTTCTAGAATACAATTAGCTTATTTGTTTTTAAGAATAAAATGCTTTTTTTGAAGTGCCTTTTGGATGGTATGCAAATATGCGGTATATCTCATTACATAGAGGTAGTCTTCACTGTTCATCTGCATAATGCATAATTCAACTACAGTACGTGTTGGTTTCAAACACTTCACACTGTGTGGATTTTTTTTCTTTTGTCTCAATTGAATGGGCTCTAAAATGTAACTTTTTTGAAAATTGCAAAATTTTCTCATTATATAATCTATAAAGAAGCTACACATCAAACATTGCTAACAAAAATGTTGAAATACTTTTTTACGTAAAGTAAAAAATTGTCGTCGTTGCTGTACTTGAATACAATTATTTACTACTTGAATATAGCCTTTGTCTATTCTACTAGCTCTGTAGAAGTATCGATTAAGTGTTAAAGAAATTTAAAAAAAAAGTGTGTTTTAAACAAATCTGGAAAAGTTGAGATTTAGGCATCACCCAGGTCAGGATAGATGGAAAAAGAAAATGAAAACGTATTTGTTTTTTCAGACTTTATTTCCCATCTCATTGTGTAGAAGTCGTATCCATCTGACACATTCCAAATCTGAATATTCTATTATAAATCTGCTGCCATCATTTCTGCTTGGAAATTTGTCAAATTTTCTTCTGGAAGTACATGCAGGGAATCTTGGTTAAATGACAGAAATTCAATCCAAAGTTGCTTTGCCCAGCCTTCAAACACTGGACCATTTTTCTCCCTCCCACTCTTTTTGAAGATGTTCCCTCTTGTTTCTTTCAGATGTTGGGCCAGTTCATAGCCCGAGGCATAGCCGATCACGTCCTTCCCATGAACTTCCTGGATAGCTACAAAGGGAAAGTGGACTGTGAGCACGCCAGGTAAGCCAGCAGAAGTCGTGTTAACCTTATTGTGGATTTCCAGAAAGTTGTTTGCTAATTTAACAGATAGCACTGTAGACATGGTGGGTATTTTCTCTTTTCTCTTCGTGCAGAGTGGCTTTAGATCGTGCTGCGGTGCTGCTGTCCATGAAAAAAGGGATGATTGGTCTGGATAACGTGTGGGGTGTCGGTGGAGGTCTGAGACCCGTTAAACATCTTGTCAAAAAGGTGAGCAAAAACGGAAGTAGTGAGCGAATTTCGGTTTTAATTAAAAAGTCATTTAAAATTAACTATGACTCAGTGATTTATTAAGCAGTGTCTAACACCGGGGCACAAAGTGTTCGTATTGACCATGTAGGGATCTTTCTTTGTTGTTATGTAACATAAACAGAAGGCAGAAATGCATGCTGGGTAGAGATCCGCAGGGCAGTGCTCTGCTGGACTGCTGTGTCAGCAGAGCGTTTTGTCCTCTCAGGAGTGTCCACGTTAACAACAAGGACACAGGAGAGGCCGGCGCACCTTCTGTTTGTGTTCCACGGATTTGTTTTGATTACAGTTGGCGCTCCATCATCAGGGCTTTTTTGGGTGATTTGAAGTGACGGCCCGTCGCATTGTTGCACAACATTCGCGAGAGCTTGTGTTCTGAAATGAAGCAATGGTTGTGTGCTCTCAGAGTATTGTGTGGCCTTCAGACCTTGGAACTGTCCTGTCCAGTTTTGATTTTTTTTTTTTTTTTTGGCCGAGATGAGTGTAGGCCCAGACGACTCACACTCTCAGGAGCTTTAGGATAGTTTGCTTGGACTAACCTTTCCAGCGCTATCTCAAAATCGGTTGAAATGAGTTTATTATTTAATCGGAAAGCAATGAAATCAGATGATGTTGTTTTTTCTAGTGTGTTAGTGGCAGATTTGCTGTAAAAAGTGGGAATCGTGGATTATTTCCCCTATTAAACTAGCTGTTGGACTTTCTCTCTCTCCACATTCATTCATCATTCCCATCAAAGAGTCCCGTGTCTTTGGCATCAACGTTATTGGCCCAGATTATCTGGTAATGTGAGAACGCCCAATTAAAATCTCCCCAGAGGAGTAAATAGTCTCACACTTTTACACCCCACTACACAGCGCTGCTGACTCTCCAGCAGACCACTGATGAACGTCTCCGATTCTGCTTGCATCCTCTTCCCCAATCAACACCATAATGTGCGTTGATCCCTCTGACACAATAACATGTGGGCTATAATAAAGGATCACCTTTGATATAAGATGCTTAAATCTGAAATCTCACGATGACTGGGCTCAGCTGGAACTTATTGTAGCTTTTCAATGATATTTTATGATCTTTGTTAACTTTAAAGCACTTGGAAGCATTGTTGTGACTCGGACGTTTTGAAGGATCTTGCGGATCTTTCTCACATCTGAACCAGTGGCTAATTCCTGCATAAAATGATTCAAATTAAGTATCTTGGTACGATCTGACTTTTAAGCATAGCGTAACAAAATTTGCAATTGGGTTGAAGTTGGGGTTGTTCCAGCATATTGTGAAGCGTGCTTTGTAAATCCCAAAATCAGATTTTGTTTTGTCTTGGGAATAATTTTTGTCCCAATTTCAACCATCTGTTGTTTAATGTATTCTTACCCTTCAAAAATATAATTCGGTGAGTCTTTACATCTTGTTCAGCTCCAGTTGATGGGTTCGACTTGTTCCCTGGTTCCTTCCCGCAATGATTTTAGTTGTCCAAGCAACGTCAACTCTGACTGATGTCCCCATTTGTGTTTGCTGCAGATGAACCTTCTCCTCAAAGAGTACCTGATATCCGGGGACGTGTCCGAGGCAGAGCGCTGCCTCCGCGACCTGGAAGTCCCTCACTTCCATCATGAGCTGGTCTACGAGGTATTCAGTCAGTCTCTCCTCCATTTCTGGTGCTTATTTGTTCTCCACCAGTTTATTACAACACGTTCCAAGCCGAGATGTGATGAAAGTGTTTCTTTTTCTTCCTTGCTTATGTCTTGTCAAGTAAACCGAAGACAGAGCTGCACTCATGAATCTCTGCTTTTAATAGGATTCCTGTTTTTTCGCCAAGGACATTGTGTGTTTGGCTGTTACTCTCTCATTTTCAGTCAGTCTGATCTTGAAGCCGAGTCCAAATTAGTTCAAAATGTCTGCAACTGTAAATCTAGCATTTATTTGTCTTTATCACACACACTGGCAACATGTTCGTTTCTGAACTGGGAGACTTCTGTTTTTGTTTTTACTTTTTTTTTTTTTTATTAATTAAAGCTGGCAACTCACACTTAGCAGATGATCTGTTTCTGTTGCAAAACAAAACTTAAAACACAAATTTCTATAAACTAACAGCTATACTTACACGATGTGTACTCTGTCTACCGAAGTCTGACTATACAATAAGTAACAAATTGTGAGAAGTCTTGAATTGAATACCTTTTTGATTACAGTAGAATAATCTCCTAATAGAAATGCTCTCACTGCATAGATATGGAGATGTTTTTTTATTTACTTTCTCACTGTTTATAGTGCACATATTTAATGTGTGTGATGTTAGGATAGAACAGGCTTGTCATCTCTCCCAACAACTATTTGACACGTAGATGTAAAGCAAATGACTGAAAGATGCCACTCTTTGCTCATGTTTCCAAGCTGTTAATTTTGCATTTTATTTTATTTTTTTTACATCCCATACTGCTGTCTCTCACTCAGGCTTGTCGCAGCTGCATATCTTCAAACCTTTAACTTATTGTAGACAATTTGATGTACCTGCCAGTTCCCAACTTGTGAAGACGAACTCCCGTCTGCTTTGCTTTGATCGTATGCGCTCCTGCATTTCCCATTTGAAGTTGAAGATATTTAAAAAAATACTGAAATATCTGATCAAATCTAAAATAATCATATCAATGCACACAATGCATGTCAAAACTGCTGTATGTACAAGACGTGCACAGAACTGAAATGGTGTCCCGCTCATATCCCTGGCCCAAAATACAAAAAAAAGAAAAAAAAAAGAAAAATTAACAAAAATATGCAATAAAAACTAAATGTCTGGGAAATCCATACGACAGCTCTAAGTCTATGATATATTCTTTGTTCATGGGAGGATATTTTATATGCACGGTTTATAGTTTCAGCAGCACCACGAATGTTAAAGTTGAAATCTAATATTCAAGTGTCCTATGGTTTTTAAATGAATCTGCAAACGAGAGGAGCTCTACTGCTGCGCTCATTGTGAATTTACTTCTACGATTACAAAGCGTAAGATGAGGATAATAATTGGGTTGGTGTATTAAATGATGCTGTAAACGTTGCTGATGCAGATGTATTCCTTCACCTGCAGCAGCCTGCCCAACACCTTATCGTTCACATCTCTAGGATCTTGTCCAGTATTAAATTGCTCTGTCCTTATTCCCTGCCAACCCTCTGGTCGAAATGTCATCATGTGAAGGTGGTTAGTGGATACTCTGCCACCTTGTGGTGAAAAAGCACAGCTGCCTTCTGCCTGTTCGTGTTTCTTCTCTTAATGTGAGTCTCTGTCGTTCATGTCAGGCTATAGTGATGGTGCTGGAGTCAAATGGGGACACTGCCAGTCACATGATGATGAAACTTCTGCAGTCCTTCTGGAAAACAGGCCTCATCACAGTGGATCAGATGAACAGGGTAAGGCAAACTAAATTTATCCGGATTTTCTGGCTGGGGCTGAAACGATTAATCGGATTAATCGTTATGAATCAATTATGCAAATATTCATCAAATAAATTAGTAACTGATTAATTGTTCACTGAAAATAAGGTAATTTAATGAAAGATGAACACAGACCAGTAAATAAGCTGAAACTGCACAAAAATGTATACATTCTGCATATAGGATATATATAAAAAAGCACGCATTAAAAGAATGCTATGCGACTGCCTTTTAGGCAATAAAATGTTTTTCATGTTTAAAAAGAAATTCAATCATTTGTTTGCATCTCTTTGTGCATTTCCAATATTACATAAAAAAGGTTGAAATACTTAAATGAAAAATCTACAGACTGTGCCAATTTATTTTATGCAATTAAGCATCAGAATAATCAGTTACACTAAAATAATCGATAGTTGCAGCACTATTTCAGACTAATACTTAGAAACACCTGTTGACATTCTTCATATTTACGTGCAGGGTTTCCAGCGCGTGTATGACGAGCTGCATGAGATCTGTCTGGACGTGCCCCATGCCCACCCCATCATGGAGGCCTTTGTGGATCTCTGCTACCAGGAGTCTGTCATCACCAAACAGCTGCGGGACGCCTGTCCTTTCAGGTTAGTTCTTTATCAATCACCTTTGCAGCCTTTTTACAGCCTTTTATTATATTTATTCCAGTAGGCCAATTCTTGTTGTTGGGGGGGGGGGGGGGGGGGGGGAATTAAAACAGCCACAAAGAAAAGCTGCTGTCTGGCCCTGGATTGTTTTGTTACTTCTACTTCATCATTCAATTTGAATTGTGGAGTAGAAGAATGACATGGAGTTTGGCTTACATGAACTTTCAATGGTTTGTGTTTGCACAGCATCATGGGAATGTTCTCTTGCAATGCAAAGTCAATCAACCTCTGAGGTGTGCTGCTCTCGCCTAGTACTATATTCGAAATAACGTAAAACTGTCTTCGCAAAAGTCTGAATTTGAAACGCGATCGCAAATTCAAATCTTCTGCATATGCACAAATCTTTGTAAGGCACTTTGTTTTGCGGACACGATTAACAAGCACAAAATATTTTTTTGGTCCAAATTTTGTGTCCATGCAACACGTTTAACTTTATTTTGTCCACCAGAGGGCGGAAGCGCTTTGTAAGCGAAGGAGACGGGGGATTGATCAAGAACTAATCCGCATGTGGAAAAGCAGGAAGAGGAGGACGAAGATGAAGGGAGGGTGTCTATCACCCTCCGGCCTCCGTTTCTGCCTCCATGTGAACCCCGACCTGGAACGTTCCTCTCCTGTTAATGTCATTTTACAAGCCAGCAGTCACGTCAAACAGAGGAGCTGCCTGGGCGCCCTTCAATGTCGTTAATTACAGTTTTTGAAGAATATTCTGTATCTCTGGGGTTGTTGCGACCCTCCTTGCTCGGTTTTCGTACCCGTTAGGAATAATTCAAGCTAACGCTGTGGGGAAACGCGTGGTTAAGGCCTGAGTTGTGGCAGGGATAAATCTTTTTTTTGTTGTTGTTCTACCTTTTTGCCATGTGTTTTTTTTCCTGCAGGCACTAACAATGAGGGCACGGTCGGGGAGCTTAGCAGCAAAGATCTAAACCTGTTTATCCTCTGCCACAGACTATCTGAAATAATTTCAAAGAAATTGTTCTCTGTACATTCTTATTCTTGTTTCTCTCAGTTCTTAAAAAAAAAAAACGGAGCCTTTTTTTTTTGTTGTTTCCATCTTGGTCACGTAGACCACGTGTTTACTTTGTAAAGCATCGGTTGCAGTAAGATGTGTTTGGTCACTGTTTATTTGAAAACTGCATTTGAATAGGCATAAATGGATCACCAGTTCTGAAAATCAAATAAAAATTATTTGGGTTCATATGTTGTAAGAGATAGTTATGTAAAAAAAAAAAAAAGAAATAAAATAAAGCAAGTATTCGTTATTTAGAGGAATAAAGACTTGCTTGCAATTGAGTAATGTAGACAACTGCTGTGGTCAACAGATGGATCTGAAGAAGCAGATTAAAGAGGGTAGGAGAATGTTGTCAAACTAAGCTGGGATTGGTTTAATACCTCGTTGAACTTATTCCAGCACCTTCATACCTTGGGATACAGTTTGTCAGTGAGACTTTTCTACCCTCTGTCAAACAGTTTTACATGTTGACCAAAGTTGTTCTCAATATTTGAGTTGAAATCTTTCATTCAATAAAAAAAAAAAATGCAACAAATTGGTGTTTCTGTTCCTTCTCGTTTCATGACCTTCGCACTGAGCAACAGCAAGTTTCAAGATTTTTCAGGGCAGTTTTGACTTAAGCTGACGGAAAGTTTCAGATAGCTAAAGGATAACGCAGAGGAGTAGTTTAGGTTTTAAAATGTACTCTGTTTAAAACATCTGAAAATGGAAAGAAGATGGCACACCTACTAAATCATGATCCTGAAAAGGTTGGCTCTGGAGGAGCTGCACAAATGGGAAATCACTACTGTGAAGTCCATACTTAGTTCATGGAAGAGCAAACAAGACAAACATAAGTCTTGTTTGCTACCAGCCATTTAGAAGACAGAAACGTTATGACAGAAGATGGCCTATTACATATATTCTCACTAAGATGCATTGAAGTTTGAGTTTGACAAACTATGAAAGCTTTCAAAGAACTAAGTAAACCATTGCTCAGGTCTCTTTGAGCTCTTAGCTGGAGTTCAGAATAATTTCTGACTAAAATAATGAAGAATAGAAATTGTTTTGAAATTGTGATGGGCACTGAAAATAAAACGCTGTACAAGAGAAGCATTTCTGAAAATTAAGAAGTTATCCGTTTTAACAACAAAAGAAAAGTTTTCGTAAAAACGTATACGTTAATTGTTTGTGGAATATGCAACAGCGGTTTCAAAAAGAAAATCCATGGTGCACTTTTTGGCTTTAACTAATAACACAGGGAGAAAATCCAAGATTTCTCCATGACTGTGCATTAGGATTTAGAGCGACTTCATGTTAATATCCTTAAATATCCAATTTCAGAGGACAAACATGGGCTATAATGTTCCTTGTTTTTGTTCCTGCTTTTATTTTTATTATTAATAATAATAATAATAATAATGACCATGCCGTACATTTTAAAACGGCGCCTTTCTTATATTTGAAGGCTTATAGCAGGTGTGGATGATCCACTGCAACACTTGAGTATGTACACGTCAGTGGAAGCCAGTCGTGAACTAGGAAGTGGCTAGCAGGCTTAGCCAGCGAAGGATCATGAGAAGCAGCTGAGAATCTGCGTGTTTCCACAGGTCAGTCATCCACTTTGTCAATGAACATTAAGCTAGAACTGCAAAACAGAGCCGCATTGACTAAAACTCGGCTTAAGTGAAGATATGTTTTTACATCAGCTGGCTGTAGTTGTCAAAACTTGCGTTAGCTTTTAGCGCAGCAGCGTGAAGCATGAACGGTAATACTCAGGCGGGCTACCCGCTGAATCTGTCACACTTTGTATTTAACGAAGGTTAAATGCACACCCAGTTTAATTTATAACCAGCTCTACGATGACCTGGCGTATTTGGGAGCATTATCCACCTTTCTAGCTTAACATTAGCTAGGGCGCTATATAAGGCTCCCAAAGGAAAGAAACGCACAGTAGCAGGATTGTATCTATGGGTATTTTTATTTGTTTTAGTAAAATACGAAAACCGTGTGGTCCCAGTAATGTAGAAATGCCTAGCCAAAGTAATTGCGATTAAAACATCCAGATTTACCGAACTATTTTTTTTCTGCTTACTTTTTGTCCTCATAGATACTTAAAGATTGGCTTTACATAAACACGTTTTAAAGTTTTATTAGGTATTTTTGTTTCGCCCTAAAATACGAGACAAAATAAGATTAAATGCAGAACAACACATGGCATAATCCATTGTGTAATTGTTTATATGAGACATCTAAAGAATTACAGTTTAGTTGTGCCTGAGTAATAAAAAGGGTATATCAAAAAGCGTATTGTTGAGTTTTCCCTCATTGTATGTAACTTAGAACAACAGAGGTGCCCCTCCACCACCTGTTGCTGTGCATTGAAAAAACGCTTCCCCCAGCCCCCCAGTCCCTGCTTAAACAATAATGTCTGCACAATTTATGGAGAAATAATAACTCGGATGTCTCTTGCATAAATGGTTATCTAATCAGTGACTTTGCTTCTGTTACACATAAAATCTAAGTTGTTTTATAAAAATGGATGTTGTTCCTCTTCGTTCTCTCTCTTCAGAAGGGCAGGATGGGCAGGCAGAGGAAGAGGGTGGTGACGGGTGACGCTCCTCCCTACTCAAGGAGAGAC